TCGCAGTGTAATACCACTGTTTAAACTTAAAATCTAAAACCAACACAGATTATATACTAAAACCAAGCTTGGCGTTTTATGACTGATTTCAAATCTATGATCAGATCACGCAATGTTTTAAGCAGTAATTGTATGTTCATTTATTTAATGTATTTAATGTACAGTATGATGATAAAAATGACATATAACCTCGATAGTACGTTGTTAAGAAGGCTCTGAAGAACTGTAAAAAAATGGTTGAAGAAATCCCTGTTAGAATTGCATCCACATTAAATTTACATCTAAATAGAAATTAACGGTGACAACTATGTTATTATTATAAGCGGAGATTTCAGTGCAAGAATAGGACAAAAAGGAAGAAGATGGAAAAAGAAGATTTAAAGACAAAAGTGAAAATAACTAATGAAAGCTACTGAGATAGGATGGAAAATCTTGAACGAACATAAAACTCAGAATCAAGAAGGCGAATTAACTTATGTAGAACCGAGAGGATAATCGATAATAGATTATTAAATGGTGAATGAAAAAACGTGAGAAGAAATTTCGCAGTTCAAAGTGGGAGAAAGTATAGAAGAAAATAATGTTACGTGGAACGGGTATTTAAAAATCGGCGTGGATTAAACTCAACAATTAATAACTCGAATTTACACGACTGGTTACACAGGGATTATGTACAAAATAATTCCGGCGCAACTTGACTATACTCTCGTGGACTGAATTGACTGAATAATAATCGTTCTTGACGGTAGTCTCCATTTAAAGCCATACATTCCTCTAGATGGATCGCGAACGCCACTTCGAGACTTTTCTGGACACCGTAATCAAGACTTCCGGTAACCGGCTCCAGTCTTGTGTTTATGCGAACGCCGGTTCGCCGTCGCAGCCGATGATGAGTCACTCATCATTGAGATGAGAGGGCTAGTGGCACATATGAAGAGAAGTTAAGAACACACGCTTTCGTTGAAGCTAATACGCAAGCAAAATGGGATGAATTGAATAAATTGATAAAAGATGCAGAAATCAAGGTAGAATCTAATGTAAGTAGAATTGGAGAGAGAAAAAAAAAGACTAGTGGAATATGGAATGTTAAGAACAGAAACAAGGAAGACATTAAGAAGATGGAAAAACCAAAAGACAACAAGAGATTTCCTCAAAGTCAGAGAAACATATAAAAGTAAATACAAAGACAGAAAAGCAAGTAATGAAGAAAGAAGCACAAAAGATAAAGGTAATTAAATCAGAGAAACAAGTATGAAAACACATTAACAAAAACGGGAAAAGGAAAGAAAAATCAAAAATGTCATTTTTGTCAGAAGAAGCCAACTAGAGAAACTATAAAAGAGATAGGCAGCTGAAAAAGATGGAATTCCAAATGAAGCTAGTCTAAAGGCACCTGACAATGTTATCCACAAAATGACAGAAATCGTGAGGTGTGGATAATAAGTATATAAGAAGAGAGACAGGGGGATGATTGAAAACTATAGAGGAATAATTTTGCTAAATACAAGCTACAAATGGAATAAAATTGTATTGAGAAACAGGTCAGAAAAGGAAATGGAGAAAGAAGGGTTGTTGCCAGACATGCAAACAGGGTTCAGGGAAGGGAGGAACACAATGGATTATGTAAGTAAAGTGTGTGCATAAGAAAGAAAGTAGCCTGTTTGTATTCTTTGTCGATTTAAAAGCCGCATTTGACACTGTAGATACAGAAAAGATCTGGGAATATTTGAAAAAGAAGAAGATAAGTGAACATCTAATAGACAGGATCGAGGAACTGTACGAAAACACAACGATGTAAGAGTGAATGGGAAAGAGAGGCAAACGTTTGATATGATAAAGAGGGTTAGACGGGAGTGCCCGATGAGCCTAAGTCTTTTCACTGCCTACGTTGGGAATCTTCAAGAAATGTTTAGCAAACTTCAGGTAGCAGGCGTAATGACTGGAAGAAATAACGCTTGGATGTTGGCATATGCGGATGACATGGTGGTGATAGCTAAATGGGAATCTTCAAAGGTATATAATGAGGAAGGGATTTAGAGTAAATGTGAATACGACAAAAAGAAACAGGTGGGAGAAAAAAGAAAGGGTTTGGAAGTGGGACACAGAGAAATAGAGGAGGTGAAGGAAGTCAACTCAATGAGCTCACATATACTATACTAAGGAACTAGCAAGATGATGGGGATGATATGGGCAATTGCAAAAAAGGCTATTTGGTGATGATCGGAAGAGACTGTTTTATAGTTTGGTTACAATAATATCGAAATCATTATGATCAATGTCCTGAATTAAATAGCTTTTAGATTAATGTAGACAACAGTTACATCAGTTGTGACTACAAATTATTTTGTCCAAGATTTTCATTATTGAAACCGGAAGCAGATTACATCCTACCTGAATTTTTTGGCAAGATGTTGTAAAACTAACGATTGCGACATTTGCTATGTTTCTGTTTCTGTCTTCGTCTGATACACTGTACGCAGGTGAAGACTGCCCGCACTTTTTAGAATTTTAGGGGTGGAAACGTATATACGTGTGTCGGATTGTAACATTACACCTGGTTCCACGAGATAATTGAACAGAGCCATAAAAAAAGTTTAAGTTTACCCTGTTACAATAGATCCTTAATTTACGTTTGAGGAGTAAAAAGTGTAAATTTGACACAAAGTAAAATATATGTATGGTTTTAAATAAAAAAGAAATCTTGCAAATTTCCACCAAAAAAAAAATGCAATTTCATGTAACCCACGAGGTACTTAACCAAGTTAGTGGTTAACTCTACATATCTGAATTTTTATATCGATAAAGAAATCAACATTTTACCGCACATTTTGATAGAATTACTTTGGGAGGTATAAAATTCTGAAATTCTATACACACAATTATTGCGAACATGATAAATCACTGATTAGAATTCACGGAGTATTCCAAATAACCAAAGTTCTTTTTTTGTGCGTAATACTCTAAATCCATAGATCCATTAATTTTTTTCTGGTTATCTGTGAGCACCCAATTTTTGGAGGAATAATATACAGTATTTGCCAAAATTAAAAAAAACACCAACACTGCATTTTACCTTGAAAATACAACTGACAACATCGTACTATTAAATGTGAAGTCTGACATGGGGAAAAAACGAAGATAAATATGTAACTAATTTATACTCAATTGCAGATGTTGAAGGGTTTTGATGTTTCAAAACGTTTTAACGAGACATATTAAACTCAAATTCTACAAACGTTATTATAATTGAGTTAATTTGTTTGTGCTTCCGTGTTTTGTGATGACAAGTTTATCGTTCGTTGAAGTTTCAACAGTATAATACGAAGATCATCACAGGATTTCTTTTTGTCAGCAACTGAAATCAACAAGTGGCGGTTTTTTAGTTTTGACAAAAACTACAGTAAATTTTGAAATTTTCTTATACATTTACGTACATCAAAAAAGTGAGGTTTTAGAGGATTTTTTTTTTACAGAGAATTAAAAACAACTAGTGTTAAACAGATTTATTAGTGCTTCAAGGGCGGAGAATGTTCCATCTAAATAATTTTAATATCTTTTTTATACTACAGGGTGTAGGGAGTGATTCTACGACAACTGGTCGCAAACAATTGATCGCGCGACAATTGATCGCAAGCAACTCGTCGCAGCACAATTGGTCGCACGCGACAATTGATCGCGGCGACAATTGATTGCAGCGACAATTGATCGCACGTAAATTGATCGCAGCGACAATAGATCGTACGTAAATTTATCGCAGCGTCAATTGATCGCAAGGTAAAATTCATCGGGAAGTATTTTCTTTTATTAAAACTAAATATTTTGTATTCTGAATTTTAAGTTGCAATAAATTTAGCAACCAGGTAAGGTGTAAATATCGAATTAAAAACAATTTGAATATAGATAAGTGACGAAGTTTGTAGTTGCACTTTAAAAATTAAAAAATACGAGCGTAAACACCTTGTTACATAAGAATTTTTATTAATAAATTGTCATTTTGGTTATTTTTCTTTAACAGATTGTTTCTATTTATCTCGTTGCTTATTTTACCCATTATATTATAGGAACTAGCTTCATTATAATAAGTACTCAACATAAAAACAAGTGTTTATTGTTCTTAACTAGATTACAGTTATTTAAAAAATCATATTTTTAACAACCTTTAAATTTTAACACATTTTGATACAGAATTGCCTCTATTGTCTATTCTTGTCTTTATAGATATCACCAAACAATAAAATTTATGAACTAATAGTACATCTAGAGTATCCATATGCAGCGAATGTAAATTCCACTGGACGGATATAATACTTATTTTAATCCCTTGTAAATTGCAACGGATCTTTTACAGGGTTTGAGAAAGGTTTACGTGTATTGTAAATATATATTGCAAAAATAAAAATAAATAAATAATTTTGTGTTACCGGGAAATCTAAGAAATGTAGGTACTTATGCAACTAAAAACTTATTTTTTAATTATTATTATGTGACTAGTATTGTACTGAAGAAAAATTCAGTTGTACCATATGTGGGTGTAAAAAATACATATACAGGGTTAGTCACGAGAAAATTATTTCTGAAAATTATTTTTACGCAACCCAAAATACGAATACGATGTATAGTGAACCAAGAGTTATAAGGTTATATGGCCATCATAAAATCATCCCATTGTGTCGAAGTTAAGTTGTTTACAATAGAAAAGGTTTTAGGGTCGTAAATAACGTGTCCACTGCAGCTGGACCGACTCTTGTGGTTTCGTTCAGGGGCGGCTTCCACCAAATATGAAAATCCACCACTCCACTACTTCTTTACTACCTGCAGCCGCTGAGGGTTCCGAAATAACCACTCGCTTTGAAAGCCGGCCCTGTTAAATATGAGCAAGAAATGTTTAGAAGATGATTTATTGCCAACCCGTAAGCTTAGTGCGAACCACACAAAGGGGGTATTTATTTGCGGTCAACTACTTTTATGATGGCCATATAACCTATGTCGATGGTGCCAAAACAGATAGTGGTTCAGGAGCCGGCATCTACTCCGAACAACTGAACGCACAAATTAGTGTACCTCTCGGCACCCACACGTCTGTCTTACAAACAGAACTGATGGGAATAATGCTGGGAGCTAGAATCATTGCTGAACGTGAAATCGGCAACAAATCAATACGCATACTTACTGACAGCAAGTCTGCACTACTAGCCCTGGACAGCTGTATGGTTCGATCCGGGCTGGTTTGGGAGTGCAGACAAACGCTAAAGTATGTAACGCAGAGGAATAGTGTGGAACTTTGTTGGATCAAAGGACACAGTGGCAACGAAGGAAACGAGAGGGCAGATGAGATGGCGAAGCGAGCCGCGCGCATGCCCTTCTGGGGACCCGAACCGGCAATCACGCCTTCGGTCGCCCTCTCGAACGAACTCGTAAAGCAATATACCCAGAGACGCCATGAGCAGATATGGGTGAAGTTGAGCAGCTGTCGGCATAGTAGAGCTTGTATGGCGACACCAGACCGTAAGTTGACGAAATTTTATCTCTCACTTTCAAGGGACAAACTGCGTAAACTGGTAGGATTCCTTACGGGACATTACCAGTTTAACAAACATCTACATACGATAGGGGTAGTAACAGACCCAATCTGTCGTGGATGCAATGAAGAAGAGGAAACAGCTGAGCACATTCTTCGTGAGTGTCCAGCCCTAGCCTCCTACAGGGAATCCATACTAGGGGACATCTGGCCTAGTATGGCAAATATCAGGGAGTTTCCACCCTCTGCATTACTCAAGTACATTCAAGCAGTTGGGTGGCTTGACGAGTAGAGGAGCGGGAAAACACCCTGATATGGACTTGGGGAAGGTACAATGGGCCCAAAGGCGAGGCCTAAGTGCCGGCTGGCCACGGTCAGCCCCCATAAATTAAGAATCCAGGAAGAATCCAGGAATCCAGGCCATATAACCTTATAGCTCTTGGTTCACTATACCACTTGATACTAACTGAATTTAAAATGAAATGCTTAATTCATGATTGTTTTGAGTTTGGCAATGTCATTTTGACAATTCTGGAAAAGGAGGTTACGCGAGTGTCCATGGTGGTACCGCAGCCAGTTGGAGATCTCCGCTGGCGCCGCTAACAAGTTTGTCAGGGCTTGCTTCGAGTGCCTCTTGATCTTTTGCAACCGATTAATGACGAGAAAATTATTTCTAAAAATTCCTTTTACGATAGATATTTCTGTGACGTGTAAAACAGCTCTCAGATCTAAAAAAAAGGAAGAAATAATTGGTTCGCAGTTTTCCATGAATGACCCTACTACGAGCTGCTACCTGATTTTATTCTTCTCCGCACTTTGCATGCTACAAAAATTTACAACATGGGCTGGAGAAGCCCACCTACATCCGGCAGATTAGGCAAATAATTCTGAGTGAATAGTCGGCCTTCCGAGTGAAAACTTTTCAAACTTCCCAAGCTAAAAATTAGTCACGTCATTGCGAATAACCACTACTCAGTGGCGTCGTCATCCTGGTTGTTTGTACTTTTTAACGGTATTCACTGTTTGTATTACTTGTTACTCGTGATGTATTGATTGATTTGAATATTTTAAATAATATTAATTAATAGAGAATATAAATCTGTTATGTGCGTTGTTTTATTCAACAAATTTTATTCCATGAGCCGCATCAAAAAAAAAAAACTGTACGTCACTGTCATCGGCAGTCTTATCTGGGTAATGAGGGGTACTGTTTATGACACTTTACCGGTTTGGCTCGAAACCATCATTTTAAGTCTGGCACTTCCTCCAGTATGAGTATATTCCTTTGCTCCATGGTCAAAACTAATCTTTTTACGATCTTGTTTACAGAAATGGCGTAAAAGTGGAGATTGGTATGTAGGTACTTAGCAAAGGGAACGAGATAAATTATTCATTCTGTCGTATCTATAAGCGCCTTATTAACAGTGTGAGCGTTCAAAAAAGTTCTGAATGAAAAAACATCTTTGGTTTTATCATGGATTAAAGATAATCCAGAACTAATTTGTAGTGAGCAAAAAATTGTCTGCAAAGAATGCAATAAACTCCAAGATTAATTGTTAATATATAAATTCAAATTTCTTTGCACCAAATTTATTAAAAAATATATATATTTAATTTTTTAAACTATCAAACGTAATCAAAATAATACTTTTTCACTTAAAACTGTAACGAGAGTTTTTTCACGATTTATCTATAACTTTTTAATTTGACAGTTGTAATAATTTTAAAACCATTTTTTATTAAAGAAAAATGACGTCTAACACGTTTTGAAAGCTATTTTTGTCACTCGTTTAATTGACAAACTTTAAACTTGTGAGAAGAAAAGCTTGAATCACTTACTTGAGCGTCTAATCAATAAGACGAATAATCCAAATGAACATTACAGTAGCATACGGACGAGATGTCAGCATTAAAAAAAATATTTTCACTTTTTTGCACTTTGGTTTAGTCGGAAATGAGCCTAATAGTTACCGTTTTTATGGAACTCGTATGTATTTATTTTGACACTTTTTTTAGAAATAATGAAATTTTTGAGAATACAGGGTGACTGCGAAATAAGTGCAAATATTTTAACCACGGCATCCCCCACCCTAGTAGAGCCGAAATATAGAAAAAAGAAATTAAAAATCGAATGGGGCAAAACCCCCATGAACCACCCTCGATACGAAGGCACAGAGCCACCTTGTAAACAGAGTTGGAAAAACGTTCGAATAAAAACGACCTAAACACTTTCAGTTTCAATTAAAAGTAAAACCGACTTTTTGCTGCTTATCATTCGTTCATTCATTTACTCATTCATCGTTAAAGGTCAGTGTGAAAGTTTTTTGGTAATTTTGATTCTGACGGATGTTTGGTCCTTGTCACAACGCTTTTACGTTGTTTATTGGAACAGAAATAAGAGCAACTTAGAATGCTACTACCTTTTTACAAGAAATGTTGAAAATGTTGTCCTTGACTAGCAATACAGGCGTCAGAGCGTCGCAAGAGGTTTGTTGATAGGTAAAAAAACACCGGAGTAGCGGGTGTCACTTTCACTTGTTGAAGCTCTTCGATAATTTCTGGACACTGTTGATTTCCACAAACGAACTGTTTCATCCAACTGATACACATTTATCGAAAACCGTCTCTTGAAATCGTACTTGTTGACGACTACGTGGAGTTCCATCGGACAAAAAGTGAGTTACACAACGTGAACAATCAGTGGACTCCAAACCGTGCACTTTGTCAACATGGTATGGATGTGGCCGTATTCTTTTAATGTAGGATGCACTACAAGCTGTGAAAATCCAACTTCTTCTTTCTGTCCTATCACGGCCACGATCGTGAGTTTGAGGTTGAAGGTACCATGATCTCGGAGATGCTGTACCACTGATGCACCCATTACCATATCGACACAATCTGCATGGGAAAACTGCACCATAAACCGATTTCACCGACCGCTCGATGCTAACTGGCCCTTTTCGTGTTTTTCACGTTGCGATTAAAAAAGTGCCTGATAAAGTAACTTTTTTGGTTCTTTAACCGACTCGCTCTGTTCCATTCATTGTAGTAATTATGTAGGTCACAAAACAGTCCAGCGGCGCGTACAACAATTTACATTGAATTTCAAATAATTTTTTCTAGACACTGCTACTACTTAGGACCGTGAATTTTACCCAGTGACATAATCATATTGTGAGCTATTCCCCATTTTTTTTTTGCATGTATTTCGCAGTCACCTTGTATAACACATTAATTTATTTTCCTCATTCATAACAATTACTTATTTCTCTATAAACGCTATCATTTTTCGCCTGCGATCAATTGTCGCATGCGACCAGGGGGTCGATTCTCGAACTCGTTCGAATAAGTTCCGCATACGCAAGTGGCCAACTTCCGAACGGTTTTGAAGATTCGGTATTCTCGAAGCGCGCGCACACGTTGGTATACGCAAATGTTCGAGCGTATACGAACGTCAAGTTACGAGTGGGTAGATGCGATCGCATTTTGGTTTGCGAGTGGTGAAAGCTAACCTAAAACTCTGTTTGGTTTTGGTCGTTCTATTGTAACGTCAATATAATATCTGTAATATGCTGTATCTGTTAACATACATTAATAGAAAGGGTTACCATTCCAAAAATACACAAATTGTAATGTATCAATTTGATTGTAGGAATTTTTTAATTTCATTTACAATTTTGACATTTGTGATGCAAATTTAAAAAAATTAAATTGAAACAGCCGATTTCTGTGTAGTACACATAATAGCTACATATGTATGAAGAAACAACGGACTATTGCGATATTTTGGGTAATTTCTAACAATACATTAACACGTTCTTAGTATGATTGTAACCATAATTTTTAGGTGACTCTGGGTAGCCACTGCGAACATTTCAAATATACGTGCAGTTGTTTAAAAAATAAAAACTAAAATGAATTCTGAAAGATCATTTGCTGTACAAAACGGTTGTAATGATATGCATAAATATACCTGAATAAATATCGGGTAACCAAACGCTAAGAATTTTCTATAAACTAGGAGAGTACACGCAGCAATAAAGGTATTAATATGCAAATATCTGCTGGCTGCGGTGGTCCCACTCAAAAATAAACATTATTAAGTTTGTATCTGCATCATTGTAAAAAAATCACAAGAATTTGGATTAAATACGTAGGGTTGCATAAAATCATAAAATCAACATTTTTTTTAATCACGATTTTTTATGTTTTTTTAGCCTGTCAATTATTTGGGATTAAAATCCTGATTAAAATAGTAAGTATCCGACTTAATGTCATCCTTGAGCCGTACTTCTTAGTTTTGAACAATAAAGAGAATTTATTGTAATTTACATTGCAAAAAAGGAATTGATAGTGTTATTAATATGATATTCACTCCTATAATCTTTAAAATACAATTTAAAAGAATTATCGTTCCTTTTTGTTGGAAATATTGTATTTTAGTTAAAGTTCAACTTATTTTGATATAAATTTGCATTAAAAGGGCCGTAATATGCACTACATATTCGCAAACTGTAAAGAAAACTTAAAAAAAAACAATAATACTTTAAAGCAATAATTTAATTTAATGTTTGTATTGATGAGGCTGATACGTGTTTAAACTCCATATTAATTTTAATAATAATGAAACAACTTTCAGAGTTTAAATAATATATTTGTAGTCACTGCTACACGTCCCTGCCTGAAGACGGTACTGTGTACCGAAACACGTGTAGCAGTGACTACAAATATATTATTTAAACTCTGAAAGTTGTTTCATTATTATTAAAAGCAATAATTTAAATCGAGCCAATCCTGCTAATGCGTGTTTTGCTGGTAATAAATTTGAAGGTAACAAATTAAAATAGTCCTTCTTGGATTCAAACTCATCCCGCGTGAGTTCTGCCAACCATCGCATTTAAATATCATCTGTATTTTGCCGCTGTTGCCATATCCTCACTCGAACAGAGGCCTTCGTATGCGCATCGAGTTGCTATTCGCATTGAATCTCGTTCAAGAAGACGGATTTTCGTTTCGAATAGCATCTTGGCATGCGCATCTATTCGTACTCGCATCTTTGCGAACGAGTTCGAGAATCGACCCCCAGGGGGTCGATTCTCGAACTCGTTCGAATAAGTTCCGCATACGCAAGTGACCAACTTC